CTGAAGTGGATCAGCCAACAATATAGACTTGCCTGGCCTGGCACTATATTGATGGCAAAGGCTTTCACTCCCAGTTCCAGGACGTTAAGTATTTCATAATTTGACGTGAACTTACCATTTGGATGGTTGATGACGACAAAGGTGTTCGGAACCATATTTATGGTCATACCAACGGCAGAGATAGAAGATTCGGCGTTTATGTACTCTTCTACTTCCTTTAGTACAGCGTCAAGGTCAGGTGTAGCGGGATCAAGTGTAACAGAGAACTCCGAATTACCTTAAAAAAAGTGAATAGAAACACAATGTTATGAATTGTAATTTATACTGATTATATTGGAAAACGTTTGATGACATTTAGCTTTTCAAAATACATGTATATCATTATTTGTGTGTGTGTCTTTTGAAACAAAAATCAAATTCTATAATTTTCTGAAGGTAATGATATTAGCAACTGTCGACATTCTTGTGCAAAACTGAGTACAACTGGAAACGCCGTTTCTTTTGTTCAAAGCGCAATATATCATAGCATACCGGAAAAAGGAAATTATTTAAAGATCAGTTAAAGAAAGTAGAAATATTTCGAGCTATATCCACCGTTTACGGTATATTATATACTCATAAAATTCCGAAATAAATACAAAATAGTTGGATGAAAGATAGTTAGGTAGTAAAAAAGATGTATTGGCATTATGAGCTGCAATGTAATTATTCAGATGATAAAATATCATTTCTGTCTTCATCAAATCATTGTCTTCATTTATGTTCTTGCATAAATTTCTTGTCACATAAATTCTGCTAAGCCAAGCGTCGTCAACCTGCAAGATTATTTATTGGACACGTGAAAGTCAACACCTCCATATAGACTGGTTACACTAACTCGGTAACACTTTTCTGAAAAAATGTTTTATCTAGGTAGAATACTTTCAATGAGAAACTAAAAAAGAACAATAAGAATAGGAATAAAAGAAGAAATTTACAAATTTATAATTGACGTGTATGGTCTTGCATATTGCGAGGGTAAAGTAACCAAACATACTACTACTAAAAGCAAGATTGACACAAACTCCTGTGTTATTGAAGGACAAAAAGACATTGATATGAAGACCATCAATATCAATTAAGATCGACAAATTGTATGAAAACTTATAGATGGTCTACATGTCTTGAAAAGACTAAAACTATTACAAATGATTTCATCCCCATACTAATACACTTAACAAATCTTATAAGTGTGCATGTGTAATTGGACCTATATTTGCGATCATGCTGAAATTTCAATAAATAAATTTGAGAGACATTGATATTTTATTAATTAAATTTCGTAAGTTACACTAATTTAAATAAAAATATAAATAAAAAAACAACAAAAAACAACAAAAAACAAAAAAAAAAACCCCAAACAAACAACCCGATGAGCTTTTAAAATTTCGAGACCATGGCAAAACTTTCAACAAAATATTCGCAGTGGATGTACATCTATATACACACAAAAGAAATTTAAATTATTCATGGATGTTATCACGGTTGCTCGGGAATATAGGATTTTCACTATGAACAATCGATTATCAGAAGCGTTTAGTTTCTTGTTAACTTAAAATTACCATCCGGACAGCAGTTGCTTATATATTGTCATGCAAGAAACGTGTCACGTAGCAGGTAGTTATAACAAACGTCCAGTCAGGCAAAAGTAATGTGCTTTGAAATAAACACCGCTCTCCTATAAGACTTATGTCTTAAGTATTCTGTATGAAAAAGTAACATACTGAACTGTTGTATGAAATCGCTTACTCTTTTGTTTTGGCTGATTAAATTCAAAATTTTATTGACTTGTAAGATTTATAAATATGCTGATTGTCTGCTTATTGTAAGCTTTATAAGTTTGTCGATTGTCTGCTTATTGTAATAGCTATTTACCCATCACCTACTGAATTTGTGCAATGGGTTTGTCTTGCTTAGAATTTGGTTTTTAAGTTTAACGGATACCCAAATAAAAATAATCCAAATAAACTACACTCAGAATAGTGCCTTGTGATAGTGCACGGATGTACATACTGGCCTAGCTCTCTACTGCCAGCAAAAGTTAAACAAATTTTCAGCTAGTACAGAACCGATACAAACTCTTATCAGATTCCAATATAAGATGGACAGCTGTGGCTTCGGACAATAGAAATCAGTAATGTACACAACAATGTAAAATTACCTTATCAATCAGACTTGCTAATACTTCACAGACACGTTTGAAGTATAGTATCAGTTGCACTAGAAATAATGCAACTTTTAGCTTACAAACAGCAACATATTCTACCCATGTGACCAGTAAGACCGAGATTAGTCGGCACATCCGTGCTGACTGATCACAGTAAGCACTGTTTGCTTTTCAGTCTTCACCTATTTTGAAAATTTCCGGAAAATGATGGTTGAAAGGTTGAAAGGTTTAATGAGGTGGTGTTTCCACTAATAGGATGAATAGAGTCCGATAGAAAAAGAGGTGACTCTAAATGTATCATTTTATACAGAAGAATTAGTTTATGTTTCGGTCTTCGATCTTTAAGAGGCCAACGTGCAGATCTTAAGGGAACTCCCGCAGAAATTTGGACTGTAACAAATTAGACACAAGAAAGAACACAGACTTTTTTCTTTTCGATAAATAGTCCTGAAACCACGTCAGTAGTTGGCCTTAAATGCAACTAATTCGGAGTTGGTAAAGAAGGCCACGATGTCAGGTGTCAAATGTTTCGGATATGTTGCAGAATACAGCTCGTATTTCCTTGCCTTCATCTAGTGCTCGACAAAAGGAGTGATAAGTTGATTGACAGGTAAGTCTTCGAGAATAGGCCTGACTGACAGGATAGAAAAACTTAAGATCCTTGTGAAAGTTGAAGATATGCTTATATATGATGCGTTCAAGAGCTTTATTGTGAGCACTGAGGAGAGAGATGTGTCTGTAATTAAACATCTTTTGAGAGACATTTTTTCGTACACTGGACAAACATGTGCAAGTTTCCATTGCGTATGAACTTTGCCTTTCAGGAGAAGTTGAAAAGGGTGCATAGTGGGACTGAAAGTTCAACAGCCGTTACTTGAAGTACTATATTATTTATAACGGTTGTACCTATATCTTTTCCTTTTTAGAGAAAAGACGAAAAGCACCAGTAACTTCAGAAGGGTTATGTTAATGGTGCTTTCTTGTGGCGAGCTGGCGTTGGAACAGTCATGAAGGTTACTGTTTATTTATTTTCATCGCTGAGTTGAGTTTTTGCTTGACAGAAGTTAATGAGTGCTTTGGTTTCATGAACATGTGATGCGTCTTTAAGAGTATGAATACCGGTATTCATGTTATTCGGTTGGATGAACAGTTTTATAGTTTGCAAGAATGTTTTGTCAATTTCAAAAGTGTTTGCAGGTTTATTGAGGTGAGCATGCTTTGCTTGTCGGTTACGTTGTATTGTTTTGTTGCTGTTTATTTATTAACCAATATTTTTTTTTCGTTTTGCTCGGTCGTATGCAATTTTCATATGTCTTACAGGTATTATGAAACTATGTTGGCTGTGATATTCTAATTGTATCTGTTTTGTTTGGAATACATGTGTCGCACATAGAAAGAGTCGCTTCTGTTATATTTGAGGCATATGCGTCGATATTAAGATAAAAGCATTCATTTCAATTAAATCCAGAAGCCATGTTACGGAGGAGACTGTAGTCATCTGACAACAAAATATCGGGCGGGCTGTGACCTGGTATCTTAGTCAAGAAAAAAGCAGTTAAAGGTCAGAAGATAAGATGAAGAAAGGCTAAACAGTGATTTATAATTTTAAGTAGAATTTGTAGGTGAATGAGACCGAACTGAATATAGATGTTGTCAATTGTTTTCTTTTGACTGTTGCCTGATGTAGTCTAGATTAAAGTCTCCAGTCATGACCATGTCTTTAATTCCAGTATCAACAGCAAGACCAAGAGTCCCGGATTGTTGACAAAAAGTAAACGGAGGTGCTATGGTGCGATAAAATACACCAAGCGGCAGATGTTTTTTTCTGGCAAGATTGTTTTTTTTTATTCATAATGCAGAAGGCCACAATTCAAAGTAAGTGATGAAGAAGAAGAAGAAGAAGATAAAGAAGAAGAAGAAGAAGAGGGTTTATCTATCACTTAAACTACAAGTTTTCGTGATAACATATTTAGAAGCAAAAAATATATAAAAAATACAATAACATGAAAGTAAACATGATATATTGGATGGACGAAACAAAATAAACAATGACATGAATGAACACACGATGGCTAAAATTCATAAGTTTGGACCTGTAAGGTAAACATAAAAGTAGAATTAATTACATAGCATCTAAACATTAATAATCTGGTATCGGAACTTGACAGTTTTATTTATATATTGACGAAGTCTTTTTGTTTCTTTACTTATATCACTTCGTAATAATTGAACAAACTTAAATATACTCCGTCTATTTCTAATACATATATACGAATATGATTTAGAACGTTTTTAAACAAGTAGTAGTTATGAGAAGAATAAAACATTATGACAGAAGCAAATTTTAGGCTATAGACCTGTGATTAGTCTAAGGATAAGGAAAGTCATGGAAGGATTTAATTTGAAAATACAGATAATGAAAGAAAAATTGTGAATCGAATGACAGTGCTTTATATTAATCAATTAATTTTTTTCTGTTGTTTGTTTTTCTTGTTATAGATATTTACTGATAAACAGAATAACATTTAGGATATAATTTGGAAATATAGATAATGAAAAAATGTGCACTGTAAGTATTAAATCGAATGACAGTGTTTAATGTTATTTTTCTTGTCTTTTTGAAATAGTTTATTATTGTTAAATGAATAAGTTTTTTTAAGTAGAATATAAAACATTTAAACTGATATGATAGATGCAAAATTAAACGAATAAGTTTATCTTGAACATTATACATTATCTTGAACGTAAAATTGTCTTTACCTTTCTTGCGTTTTAGATATTAAAATGCTTACCGCTAGCTTCTGTAATGTCGAGACTTTGAATGTGCTCAGCTTTAACACTGGGAAATACCGACGGGATTTGTCCTTGAATTAACGGAATAATAGTTTCCTTTCCAGCAGATTCAACTAGGGAATATGGCATGTTGACTTGGAACTTAACTGAAAAACAATGATAATAATAGATTATCATAGGCAAAACACGGCCTATACTCGTACTTCAATCCTTATTCATAACAATGCAATCAAACTACAAAGTATTTATTTTTTACAGTGGCATAATTATAAACCTTTTAGAATATCCTTTCCATTCAACAAATAAAAATGATTAATAGATAAATGATAAATATTTATGCAAAATTCTATAGGAAATAAACAAAAATCCATACTCGGGTATGAATCTTTTACTGCACAAGATCTAACATCAAGGATTTTATTCTCTGATAAAAATTTGAAAAACATTTAATTAAAACAGAGATATTTTTCTGGCGTAAAAACAACGGATTTTTTATATCGTATAAAATGTGTTTATCTTTTTCAGTCGTGGCTCTACAGCGGTAATACCCAGAGCACTCATTTAACCAGATGATCAAAATGTGACAGAGCCACTGTGTAGTATAGATAAGCATTGATTTGTAAGACCGTTTAATATGGATTTGTAAGACCGATTATTATGGATTTGTAAGTCCATTAAGAATGGATTTGTATGACCGTTTAGTATGGATTTGTAACACCATTTAGCACGGGTTTGTAACACCGCTTAGTATAGATTTGTAAGATCGTTTAATATGGATTTGCAAGTGAGAGAACAATATAACTTACTCAAACCATAAGCGTTTATTTATTTTATTTTTATATTGAAGTTAGCTCATGAGGAAGGGAGTCGGGTTAGGAATCCACGCTAATTTAAGGCTCGGGTGGGCGACATTTTTTTCGTGACATGTTATTTCTGACATTGAGTCTAATGGTCATTTGTCTCTCAGCGCTGATTAAAGAATCATGCAGGGTTAGATGCTGATCACATGCAGAGACAGATTTTAGTTATTACTGGTTAGTTATCCAGTTAGCCGGTTAACTGGATCGACAACTGAGACTTGACCAAAAATAACTTTTCCCATTTTGTCGAAATTTCAATCCAAAATACTGCAGCAGATTGTACCCCTTTATTTTCGTGCATTTTCATTGGTCATGTGAAAACCTTAGACCAATGAAAAATGTGCCTTATAGTTTCATATGATGATTTAATTAAGCTGTTATTACAAATAATAATTTAATTTTATCATATTTAAATCCGCAATACAAAAGATTATTCATTCATTATGAATTTAGTGTGAGTTGTACCAAAACAGTGCAATCAGATCTCTGTCGAGTTTTATTTTTTGACAGTTTGGGATTAAATATTACTTGCTACGTATAATCAGCGAAGGTATCAGTGTTGAGTATTTATTTATCTAAGATCTGACACCGAGGCTGTTAAGATCAATGAAACTTTGATCAGTACATGTGCTGAACATTTAGATGATAGTGATTTTTCTATACAAAATTGAAAGTTGAATAACCTTTACATTTTTAGAGTAATGATTGTTTTTCCCTATAACTGATTTTTATCAATACGTATACGTATGATGTTTGGATGATGTTTAAGGGCTTTGGGTTGTAATAAGGGAACGGGTAATAGTGTAGGTCATGACCACGCGCCGAACACCTGTGGTTCCAAATAAAAAGCCGGTCAAGTGTATTAAAAAAAATCAAATTCTTACAGTTTTTAGGGATAATTATATATTATGATTTTTTATTACCTATCACTCCAGGTGTAACTTCTTCAGCAACTGAAATAAAAGAAATTAAAGATTAATGATGACATCAGATTTAAATGTGATCTTCAAATTGCCATGTTTAGGTTCTATATTACTAGCTACCTTACATTATAGCACAGGAGGTAACGCCTGATTGATTATTATTCTACAATGTTCCATTGCTCCGCACCCACAGGCGTATTTGTGTTTACTATTTTTTTGTCCATGGACCCGCTTTTTATCAATTTATCACTTCGAGTTACAGCTAAATATAAATTCGGAAGCACGATTTTCTTTCGATTTCTATTATGTAAAGTCATATATTGGTCTCCCTTTCGGTGATTCGCAGAATGCCATATTAATAAATGACATCGAGAACAAAGCTATAAATAGATATAACCTTAACATTAAGAAAGGCCGAAAATCTATTTATAGAAGTACATTAATTAACTGCTGATGGTAATTGAACGAAAACATATTCAAACATAAATTGCACCCTTTATTACTTATCGAAAGAAAATTGATAGACCCCCCTGATTCAGTTAAATCTTCGAACCCTGGTGTCCGATTTTTGCAATAGAAAGATAGGTCAAATCGTTTATGGTAGTTTAATTTGGAATGTTTGATTTGCGCGATACTGCGAATGTATATCTAAATATGAACCTTTCGCCGGGTGTTATGGTCTATTGATACACACACACACTGGTTGGTCAGACGACGGATTTTGGAAGCAATTCAACAAAATAGTAATCATCTCACGCAATAATCAATTAACAATAGCGTCTTTGTCAGTAGCTCTTTATATCTTTGACTGGCATGAACATGATGTTAGTGAATTTCCTCATACCCTATGATATATGTCTTAAAATACAGGAGTACAGTCTCTCCGTTGATAAATAATGTTTCATATATCAACATTGCCATGCAAAATTATTATTCATGATTTTAAATGTACCATTATTTTTTTACGCGTATAACAAAAAATAATCTCTGAATTTGGGTCTTTTAGAAATTATCCCAAAATGTTTCATTCCATTGTGTGTTCTTCTTTCAGTATTTATCTGAGACTTAAAAATAGCTACCTGTATTTGAGTCCAAGGCATCAAAAGAAACCATTTTTCTTAATTTTGAAAGGACAAAATGCTGTTATATTACAATATTAGTCTCTTTTGTTACTATTTTTATATTGCTGTTTTGTAGATTTGTAAACAATTGTAATAAAAAAAAATTTGTTCAATTTGACTACTGTTTGTATGTTCCAAAGAAAATACATTTAATATTTTTTATTTTTAGAAAGGCCGACCAAAAAGTCATGATGAACAATGTCGTTGTCGTCCGCCCTTCACCAACGAGTATGATATACAATGTACATTTCTGGTAAAATCCAATTAATTATTGAAAAGTTTAAATGAATATCTTGGTCATCATATGTCTTCTAGTTCATCGTCAGCTTGCTGCATTTCCTGCTTGCATCAATGCTTTCTTGTTTAACATGATATACCATTTGGGCGCGAAAGATGTAACGGACATTTTGAAAACTAAAGTCGATTTGGCTTATTTAAATATGGATTTTAATATTTCCTACATGATATTAGTTTGTTGATATTGTAGAAAGTGAGTAGCATTATAGGTGAAAATGAAAATGTACATGTTTTGAATATTTTTTATCATCTAATATTATTGACTACAGTAGTGACACAAACAGAACAATGTTGCACTACTGTCATGTCACATTACATTTACAAGTCCTGTAAGTCTTGTTTGTATTTGAATTACTTTCCTTACCAGGTAGGCATCAGTGAAAACTTTTTTTTTTAATTTAAAATCTGGCCCCTCTGTCATGGACAGTGCATATGATAAGTATAATTATGCAAATTATAATGATTTACAAAACTCTCAGAATAATGTACACTTGTCCTTAATCTAAATAGAAAATGAGTTGTGCGCAGAAATAATTTGATAAGGTATCTGTAATGAGCGCATTTTTTGCGCGGAGCTTCTCAATTGCTGCATTGCAGCAACATTTGTACTTGTTCTATAATTCATCTCTATAACACTAACATTTACAAGCACCTTACTCACATTAAAGCATCATGCCTCCAGATTCACGATTATTTTAATAAAAATTCAAAAAATGAGTTTTAAATTAAAACATTGTGGAGTGAACAAAGGATGTATTTTCATATTGCAAATGGTACATACAATCCACGTAAATTACTAAAAAATAGCTTAAAATATGCAAAAAATAGCCCTTACTGCATTAGTCACTCTGTAGAAATATGGTGATAAATACTGCAAAATCAGTCACATAACATGTAAATTATTACTTGAATCTGGAACATTTTTTTACTTTTCTTAAACAAAATTCAAGTTTAAATAATTTGGTTTATCTGGAGGCATACAGTTTAAAAAAAAGAGAGAATTGCGCTCTGAAATACAATTCAAAGCGCACAGCATTATTACAATCAGTCAAATTATTGTATGACGTTCAAATAAAATGTTGTCTCGGGAAAAAAAACCTTGCCCCTTCACCAGTGACTGATTAATAAACTAGAGATGAATATTCATCAAAGTGCCGTTATACTTGACTCATATATGTACATGTATATTTCTGATAAGAACATACTAGTAGTATATGGGCCACTTTAGGGCCACTTACTGTATATCCACGTGCATACTATGAAACCAAACCAACATTACATTGCGTAATGGCATTCAAACTATAATCCAAAATGGCCGCCGTGCATGCGCAGTAAGTGGCCCTAAAGTGGCCCATAATCTACTGATACTGTAAAATTCACATCCCCAATTGTCATTTTATTACTACATGTATCAAGTTTCTTTCCTATTTTCACACTTTGTAAAAACTGAGCATTGAGCAAATTTTCTGGAAGCGGTTCAAGTAATAAAAAAATATGAAAAATTAGAAATTGCTGGATATTTTTTAAAACAACAGTCATATTGATAAAGGTAAATCTTGATAACATTAAATTCTTACCCACAAACGAAAATAGCTGTAAAAGTATATAAATCATATTTAAGTCCGCCAATTTAAAACCAACACATATATTTAAATATACTATGGAGACTTCCTATGACGATAAAAGCCTATTTTGAAATGCAGAAAAATATATCTATAAACACTGTATACTCCTAGAGAAGGTATAATTTACAAAGGCATTTTAACTTTTGAGGCTTCAAAGACAATATTCCATTAAAGTGATATCACTCATTCATTATTCATGCACGAGATCTACGTACAAATGAAATACTGGTAAACATGGGCAGGGCTTGAATTTAGTGTTTAAATGTTTTATTTTGTCACACTATTGTCGTCCTTTTTTAAGAGACTTTATCAAGCTGAAAACTATTGTTTTTGGCGTGACAGCAAATGCATCGCAGTTTTTCCCCATCTTGTATCGTCTGTCCATATTGTTGTTTTGTCCTTCAATTACCTTTCATCGTTTGATTTGTGACTTCAGATGTTGTTCGAATCAAAGGAGATATGTCATCCTGTAGGTTTAAGCAAAATCTGCCAAACCGGTTTAACGGGAGGTTGGCGTTCACAGTTTTCGGGACGTACGGGACGGACTGACGAACGGTACGGACTGACAGACCGGACGGACTGACGACAAGTGCAACGCCTAAGTGCTCCACCATTGTCCGGGGCAGTAAGAAATAATCTTTCTTTTCCCGTTTATATTTCTTTTAAGCAAATTTTCAGTCAATAGGTAAGTGAAAGACCAGAAGTTTGTTAATGAATCATAAATATTATGTAAATGTACTTTTGCATGTTTAATTTCAGTCCAGATATTATTTCTTCCTGTGGACGGTCATCTACAATGAAGCCTGTGATGTCATCTGTGGGAAATGACACAGAGTACATTAAACTTTATCAAGAAATAACTTCTGTCCATGACAGTGGTCTTCTTAGTCACCAGAGCACATCGTTCACTGTCCGGCTTTTATCTACAGGATAAAAAGGGCTTGATCTGTTTTTCTGTTATATGTACATGTTTATTAAAATAGATCCTTTTTGTGACTATCTACCAATAGTGTTAAAAATATTTGATATATTATGAAATGGCCACTAAAGTCACTGGTCTTTTCCCCTATATAAACCGAAGGAATCATTAAATGTTTTTCAAAGAAAATGTCTGATTTTGATTTAGTAAAATAGAAAAATGCATTGGTAACTGTCTATCAAGATTTTCATAAAACATATTGACAAATGTTAAAATCATGTACCCTGCATTTTGCAAGCTATGGTCTGCAATTTGCCATCACAAAGTTTTGTGTGTGGAAAAACCTTTCACAATGAATAAACCTGAACTTTATTTATTTACATGTACAAATCTATGACTTTCAAATATTTAGCTTCAGTCTAAAAGTTTGAACCACCTTTTCATCTGTTGTGTTAAGAAAATGTGGAACCCCAAATGTTACCCATTATTTTACTTCATTATGAAAAACACAATTTTTCTAGCTGTTGATCCCTTGTTATTAGCAGTTTTGGGGAGTCTTTACAAAGATTATCCATCCATTGTCCCAGGATCAAAACTAGTCAACATTTTTTGTCTACTTCATTTAACCAAACATTGCAATGTAGTCCCAGGGCTCTGTTTAATTATCTGATTAATTGAAAACTTTTAAGTCTTTAAATGAATTCACCAGAAGAACTTTATGTTTTAATAGCATAAGACAATTTTACTTTAATTACAGCAATTTAGTAATTTAGTGACTTTCAGAGCCTGAGTCATAATAAGTTTCTATACAAGCCAGTCTGTAAAAAACAAATCCATGTGGTACAAATAGGCACAGTAGTTGCAAGAAAATATCATATTGTATTTAAAATTTCTTTTGCTACATGAAATTTCCACAGTGGATCTCCTCAAGTAATCTGTTTTATTCTTCTTTTTCCTGTTTGTAGATAGCTTATAGTAGGAATTGTAGCAGGGGGAGCCAATGTACCAACCTATGGCTGAGGAGGCTGTCATTGTCCAACAGAATAGGTACTAATTTCTAGGAGTCCACCCCTTGTACAGGCAGCCACTGCGAGATATTCTCAGAGAGGATCTATGGTGGAGCCA